ACCTTGTCTAAAGTATTCGAGACAAGGTTTGACTCTGTTGCAGCCCCTACTGGGCTGTGGCACCAGAGGTCAAACCGAAGGGCCCCAGTAGGTAAAATGTGAGTGTACTAACCAGAAACTCAGGAAGCCGTGTGTGTGTGTGTGTGTGTGTGTGTGTGTGTTAGCAACTAGATGTCAGCCAGCAGAGTTAGGAGTAGCAGCCACCCCCTGCCTCGGCTGCATGTCAGTCTCCACGGCACTCCTACTGCACTACCCCTCTTCTGAATCCCCCAGTCCAGGGCGTTGACCCATCTTTTTTTTCTCACTCCATGTGTTCTTCCAGAACATCCACATTTTTTTTTCTATAATTATATTTTATTAATTTTCATAAACATTCACAGAGATTTTGGGCTTCCACTCATTCATTGTTGCACTATTCTCTCTACCCTCCTCCCAGTTTGTTCTTGTCTAAATGCCACAGTGCTTGTCAAAGCCAGTTCTGATTAATCTTCTTTGTCAGTGTGTCCTTTGCCATTCCCTATCACTCCTCCCTGAGAGAGACTTCACCCTGAGTCATAAGGAAAAGGGGATGGCGTATTCTCTTAGCTACTTCCTGCTGAAAATGGACGCTGTGGGTTTCAGGGTGAAGATCTTCTCTCACTACTCTAAAGGGCCCCTTTGGCAGTAGGAAACACATAGACTATTATGGAGATTGATTTTGGAATTCAGATGCACTCTTATTGATTGTGCTTGGCTGTACATGTACATATCCTTCAAGATGTATCATGGGGGTGTTGCAACCTAGAAGACACAAATTTGACTAACAAGTTATAAGTACATGAGTCAAAAATTATGGAAAAGTAAAAGAAAAGATTCTTTCATTGTTTTACAAACACTCCCCCAGGTCCCCTCCACCATGCAGCCCTCGCTCTAGTCTCCTGTGATGACAGAAATACCCAGTTACATCTCTCTTTTAGACGGTTCTCTCCCTCCTCTGTTTCAGTGCAGTATACATTATTGAACCCATCTTACTCAGTCTCTCCCCAACCCCAAGGACAGTCCCATTCTACAACAGTGGCATCATGTAATATTTGTCCTTTTGTGACTGGGATATTTCACTCAGCATAATGTTCTCCAGAGTCAACCATTTTGAATAATATTGCATGAGTTCCTTGTTTTTTAATGCAGCATAGTATTCCATTGTGTGAATATACCACAGCTTCTCTAGCCATTCGTTTGTTGATGGGCACTTAGGTTGTTTCCAACTCCTTGCTATTGTGAACAAAGCTGCAATAAACATGGGTGTGCGTATATCTGCTTGGATGTCAGCTATGGTCTCTTCAGGGTATATTCCCAGTAGTGGAATTGCTGGGTCAAATGGTATCTCTATTTGCAACTTTTTGAGAAAGCGCCATACTGCTTTCCACAGGGGTTGCACCATTTTACACTCCCACCAACAGTGAATCAGGGTTCCAGTTTCTCCACAACCTCGCCAGCATTTGTTGCTTGCTGTTCTGTTAAATTTTGCTATTTTGACTGGGGTAAAATGATATCTCATAGTTGTTTTAATTTGCATCTCTCTTAGGGCTAGGGATTTTGAGCATTTCTTCATGTGTTTGTTAGCCATCTGAATGTCGTCTTCGGTGAAGTGCCTGTTCATATCCTGTGCCCATTTTTCTATTGGATTATTTACCTTTATCTTGTTGTGGTGCTCAAGTATTTCATAAATTCTGGATATAAGTCCCTTATCTGATATGTTATTACCGAATACTTTTTCCCAGTCAGTGGCTTCCCTTTTTACCCTACTGGAGAAGTTTTTGGATGTGCATAGGGATTTGAGTCTTAGAAGGTCCCATTCATCTATGTTATCTTCTCCTGGTTGTAGCTTTTCCAGGATACTTGGAAGACTGTTTATGTTGTGGATTAGGACTTCTAGTGTTGTTCCTAGCTTTTCTGTAATGAATTTCATAGTCCTTGGTTTTAGTCCTAGGTCCATGAAGAACATCCACATTTTTGAAGTTCAAGTCTGTTCCTCTTTTCACTATTCAGCCATTACTAAGTCAGCTCAAGTCTTAAGTCCTGGGTGGGACCCACTTGCTGTGAGTGCTGGCATCACCTCCCCTGGTCTGCCCTGTGGACATGATGTGTAGTCTCCATAAAGTCAGACGCTACATCTGGGTTCATGTTCGGACCCATGTGTAAGCATCAGCTTCACGTAGCCGAGAGAACAGGTTATGTCCACACTCGGCCGGCCGAGGCCTTGAAGCTGTGGGGTCCTCTGGTTATTGCAGATTTCATTTATGGGTTCTCCAGCATTCTAATTTCTTTTCTGTGGCCTGATTTCTACTGAAGAAAAGATGGTTCCTGTCTAAACAAGTTGAAATCTCTGGGACGTTCTTTCTCCTACTGGTCAAGACTCACTCCTGAAATGCCCCTGGGACTTGGGGGCTTCTACAGAAGTGGACACTGCTGTCCTACTTGTGCTTACCTCATCCCAGGGCCAACAAGCATTGCATGTCTTTGGAAGAATTCCTTACCAAACCATTGTGATCTCAGTCTTTCTGTGCTGATGGACTCAATTCCCCAACATCACCGTGTGGAGGATGGTCGGCTGGCCAGATTCCGTTGTCAGCCGTAGGGCAGCACTGTTGTGTCAGCTCAGAGGGTTTCAGGACGTTCTGTGTTGTTGCTTCCTGAGATTCTGCTGCTGCTGTGCATGAGAAAGTCGTGGGCAGCTGAGTGGGGGTCCCCTTCTCTGCGTAGTACCAGCACGCACAGGGGCGGCCTCCTCTCATCTCCAGCTGATCTCTGAGCCTGAACCCAAAATAAATGAGATGATGGTGGCTCAGGGCAGAATCCTTCCCGTCCAAGCAGGTGGCCCAGCCTCACCTCCTCCCAGGACACCACACGTACAGACACAACTCATCTGCCAGCAAGGGCTTGGGTGTTGCTAGGATACTGAGCACATTTCAGAAGAGCTCCTGTCTGCGAGGCTCTAGGAAGAAAGGCCTGAGTAGCTAAAAGCCAGTGGAAATCCTGTGGTTCACAAGGGTCTGGTGTCCAGCTGACCCTGGGGACAGTGCAGGACTAGGCAGGGTCCCTAAGAGTGCCTGACTTCACAGTCCAGACAACTGGGACAGTCCACGGTGGTGCCTGGGCTGCCAAGTTCCGGTCGCCACACAGCCGTGTCCATCTGGAGCCACTGAGGCTGTGGACAGACGTATGCTCTTGGCTGGGTGAGGGGGCTGCTGGTTCTCAGAAAGACCTGGCAGTGGCTTTTCCATGCTGCTGGCCCACAGAGCCTGTAATGACTGGGGTTTCAGGGTTTCTGGGTAGGAAGCCTGGAGAAACTCCTTCGTAATAAGTGCAGCTGGGAGTGAACTTGCCACCCCGCAGCTCTCTCAGGCAGAGTAAAGTGGGGCTCAGGAGAGGGCAGGGTAGCGAATAAATTTCATTTTATTGTAGAAATGGAAATTTGTGTCATAGCTTTAAAAATGGGGTTTTATGTGTGTGTGTTTAATGCCATTCATTTTCAACTTGGTATCATAAATCCTGGCTTTGGAATCAAAGCTGTTTAATTACATTTCACCCATGAACGGCCGTCTAATGGCAACAGAGAAAGAGTTAAAAAGGAAAGCTACAGACTGAATCAGAGGTTGAGATCTTTAGCACAAGCATAAAAAATCAATTTAAGATTAATTTTACTACTATAAAAATTCTTCAGATACCCTTTTAAGAATGGGAAATGCTGGGAAACACAGGTCAGATTTCAATCCCCTGGGCATTGTGAGGAGCAGCGTGGAGTGTGGGTGCCCGGGGACCTCCCATTCGCAGGGACCACATGTGAGGACTGAGGGCCGCAGAGAGGGTCGGTCAGGACAGAGCCCCAGCCCCTCCTGTCTGTCTCAGGCGTGTCTGCGGAAGGACAGCGCATGTCCAGCTCCTTCCCCACGAGTCCAGAAGAACCAGGTGGTGACTGGTTACCAACTATGACCATTTAGATCAAGGGCGCTGTCCAGCAGGGTGGTGTTTGGCCACCAGTGTTGATCATCCAGATAGAGGCTTCGGCCAGAGCGTCCTGATCAATTGGGGGAAATGGTTGATGCAGGAAGAATTTCAAATGTTCGTGGAATCTGGACTTTCTGGCCTCATAGAAGCTGGAAACTACAGGAAACAGTTCCCTGAAGAGGTCTTTACCTTTTGAGTCAGAGTTACCCCTTAAGCCAAATAATAGTTTAACTGCTCAGGAGTAAAGATCCCCGTGGAACCTTGTGTACTGTTAAGGAATTGTCCGTGTGCTGTCAGCTTGGCAGCGGGAGCTCGGAAGGAGAGATGAGAAGTTGGGGTGGGGCAGGGACTTTCTGTTCTTTATGGAGAGGGACAGCATGCTGGGGAGGATGGAGGGACAGCGCAGGAGGGGAAGACCCTCTATGAGGTGGATTGATTCGGTGACTGGGGTAATCGGGATGGGTGTATCAGAGACAGTGCGATTGGCACAGGACAGAGCAGGGTTTAGTGCTGTTGTACATAGGGTCGCTATGAGTCGCAAGCGACTCAATCAATGGCACATAACAACAATGGTGAAATGCCTTGAAAGGGTGTCGAGGACGGCACACAGCCTGAAGAATGTAACTGGTGTGGTTGATAAATCATTGACAGGCTACATATTTTGTTGTGAATACCGCCCTCCCCCCCAAAAAAAAATTTAGCATCAAGAATGACAGTAAAATGTTTAAAACCGTAAATAGCATCCCGCCCCCATCTCCCCAAGCCCAGGAGACTGCCCTGAGAGGTTCCCATGGCTGTGCGGGCAGAGGTGGGTCAGAGTCTGTACCGAGGAGATGAGTCCCATCCTGGTGGCCAGCATCGTGGCCCTCATGTAGAAGCTGGTGCGAGCATGGCCGACCGACCACCTGTCTGGGAGGGGCTGGCTGAGGCATTGGTCCGGGGGTCCTGGAACAGCTCTGCATGTCCCCTCAGCAGCAAAGCCCTGTAGTCACAGAGGTTGTCAGTGGTTCGACATGCTTGGCACCAACCCACATGGCACCAAGAGCTGTGTGGCACCGGCCCGTGTGGCCCGAGAGCGGTGTGTTTCATTTTTGAGCCAGCCTCATGCTTAGGTGGTAACAGCAGTCTGGCTGTGAGGGTCCATGGGATATTTGCTGTTTCCATCACTGAGGTGGGAGACCCCGGCTCCGCTCTCCCATTCATCTTCCAACCCTGGGACAGCTCACATGTCTCCTGTCACCCCTGCCCATCCCACACTCGCTGGCACACTTGCCCAGTTGTCCTTGGTAAAGATGCTGGAGACTGCCCAAAGTCGAGCAGTGGACGTGGAGGACAGCCCTGGCAGCACTGTGTCCTGTCTCCCTCGTGGCCTGATGTCCAGCATCCCCACGTCCCATCCCCCTAAGCCAGTGCCATCGGCATCCTGACCCTGAGAGGAAGCGGCCAGGGCAGCCACAGCCCCGTCCTTGAAGTGCTGTGAGCATCTTCCTGTCTGCTTTCCTGATGACAGAGCCGGCTCAAGAGGTGATGACGTTCTCCTGTCCCTTATGCAGCCCCAGCGCGGTCCTGGAATCTCCTGGGGAAACACCAGAGCCGCTGGCCCAGTGTGCAGCCTGGCTGATGGCCTATTTCCAGGACCCTGTGACGGTGAAGACGCTGCCAGTCCCAGCTCTCCACCACCCTGTGTTCCAGCAAGGTGAGTAACCAGGGGCTGCACCTGATGGCCGCTCACATTCCAGGCTGGTGTTATGACTGCATTTAACCAGGGATAGTATGTGGCCAAGCAGGCACGTGGCCACAGGGACACAGTGGAGGCAATGACAGTGACACAGGCAGCTTCACTGGATGCTGTGCCGGGAATAGGACACACTGGGGGCTCATGGCAATGAGGTGCTCAGGCAGGTGTGTCACGTCTCCAGTGACTCCAGTGCAGTCCACCCAGCTGCTGGGAGGACATCACCGAGGCCATGGTGCCGTCACTGGGGGCTTAGCGTGCTGTCTCCAGCGTTCCCGCATCCGTACTCTGTTCGCAGGAGATGAACTGAGAGCCTGTGGTGGCCAGCTTGCTTTCCTTTGTCATTCTGTTTGTATCTGCTCCATGTACAGATTCATCATGGTGACTAATGTTACACAGGACGCACTGGGAGTTAGGGACTTGTTTTCACTGCCAGGTCCATGTAAACCCACACCAGGCTACTGCTGGCAAGTCACTTCTGACTCATGAACATTCTGCATTGGGTTTCTGAGGCCGTGAGCCTTTGTAGGGGAGCCTGCCTGCCTTTATGGGGGAGACCACCCATCTTTCTCCCTCAACGCAGCTGGGAGTGCGGGACCTTTGGTAGTGCCGCCCAACACATAACTCACAGTGCTGCCATGGCTACTCATGTTGTGGTTGTTGTGTGCCATCGAATTGTGCATAGCGACGCTATGTACCACAGCTCTGAAGCCTGACCTGTCCTGAGCTAGTCTCACTAATTCCAACACACCAACCCCTATCTCCCCAGTTACTGTTTCAGTCCATCTCATCTGAGGTCTCCTCTCCTTTGCTATCCCTTGACCCTTCTGAGCATGATGCCCTTCTCCAAGGACCGATCTCTCCTGGCCATGCGCCCAGAGCTTCAAAATCCTAGCCTCCAAGAAGAGACTTGGTTTCCCCCTCTCCAAGACAGACCAATTTGATTCCTTGGAGGTCCATGGTATGTTCAAGACTCTTGGGTATATGCAGAATATATAGAGATAAAAACTCATATTCACTACTCTTGAATCAAAACAGAATCATAGCTGACGCTCTGTGGGTTTTCTGAGGCTGTAAATGCATGGGAGGATACGCCCATCCTCTGCTGGGGATTTACGTTGTCAGAGAGGGACCGTCATTGGGTTAGCAGGTAACTCCCTGTGGTCTACACACCAAAGCTCCTGCACACATCATCGTTGTCGCCGTTGTTGTTGTGAGATGCTGTGAGGACAAGTCGTAGCAGCCTCTGAACGACGGGTCTGAATGGTCTCTGAGGTGCGTGAGCCCACTTTTCCAGTGAGGTCAGTTTGTCTCGCTGAAGGTCGTCCTCTCTCTCACTCACTCTCCACCTTTTCAGCTTGATGTCCTTTCCAAGGACTGTCCCCTCCTAACAGCGTGTCCAAGGTGTAAGATGAAGTTTCACCATCCTTGCCTGTAAGGAGCTCTCTGCTGATAAAAGCGTGCATATACATATACGAGGGCTTTAAGGGGAGTGTTTTCTTTACCCTGAGACAAAACCCAGCCAAACTCGCGGTGGTTGAGCGGATTCCAGCTCACAGTGTCCGTGGAGGGCTGAGTAGAACTGGCCCACAGGTTTCCTTAACGCTTTGCTGGCGAACAAAGACATGTCATAGTCTGAGCCTCGCCCTGTGTGACGCCTTTCCTGGAGCAGACCACCCTCTCTCTGCCGTGGAGAGCGTTGGGGGCTTGAACCACTCACCTCTAGAAGATGTAACAAGCATGCCTCAGGCCCCGGGCTCTCATATGAGGTGGTTGTAAAGCAACCGTGAGTTCCCTCAGAGGTTTCCTCAGCTGTCAGGTGGGGAAATGCTGCTATGATTTTGTGAAGAAGTAACTTTGAAAGGGGAGTGGTGTCTCCAGGGTGAGGGTCAGAGGCGTGACTGACATGTGAGCTGGTACCTGCAGCCGCGATGGACCAGGTGCCACGTCACCCCTGAGATGCAAAGGGTGTGCAGAGATGTGCAGGGTGGGCAGGTGCACGTGGGGTCTCCAGGACGAGGGGCAGAGAGCGGATGCCGCCTGTGCAGACACTCTGTAGGTGCCCGGGAGAAGGCCTGAGTAGGACCCTGAGTGATCCTCGTGTCATCTTGGGGAGCCTGGCAGTGTCCGTGACCCTGGAGGGCAGGAGGGCATCTGCGGAGTTGCTGCCATCACCCAGGGTCTGTGATGTCACCTTCAGGGACAGTTTACAGGAAGCCGCTCCTGGGTCCTCCTGGGAGGGTCCTGGGCCACGTGAAGCCAGTCCTGCTCACCTGAGAGTGCTGTCACTCAGGAACAGGGGACACGGAGCCTCTGGGCTGCTGGGAGCTAGTCCAGGACAGGGGACAGGAAGAGGGGCAATGCTGCAAGTGGGTGGGTGCCTGCTGCCCGGCTGAGCGGCCTGGGCTGTGAGTCCTGGGCCGGGTGCCAACCCAGGTGACAGCAGGCTGAATGTGGCCTGGCCTGGCCGGGGCAGCCTCTAGTGCCCCTCTGTCCCCCACATCCTCAGATCTAAGAAGTGACCCAGGCCACTTAGCTTCAGGGCTGTCCCCTGGGGCGGGCCGTTCCCTGCATGGCGGGGAGTATCTCCCGGGGCTGGATGGTCTTCTAGGGAGGGCTATCTCCTGGGCATGTAATGTCTCCTGGGGGCTGCCTGTCCCAGCCGTGGGGTGTCTCCTGGGGACGGGGCGCATCTTCTTAGGAGCAGGGTGTCTCCTAGGGGTGAGTTGTCTCTTGGGGTCAGGGTACCTCCTGAAGGTGGGGTCTCCTCTTGGAGGCTGCTGGCCCACAGTGGCAATGCCGGAGTGCTGTCACCACATGCCCACTGGTCCTTTCCAGCAGGGTTTTCTCATTAGACCCGCCGTTCACTCCTGGACAGGCACCAGACACACGTTATGGTTTTGAGAGGGGAGGTGTCAGTGGTTACGGTGTGTCACTAACCCCAGATGTGCAGCATCAGAGTCCCCGCGAGTGAGGTGAGCTCGGGCTGCGGGTCCTTCCTTCGACTTGATGGCAAAGGAGCACACGTGTTTTCACGTGTCAGAGATTCTGCTTCTGGGTCTGGCTCTGTTCCTCTCCCAACCCCACGCACCTTCCCAGAGAGTCAAAGATGTTTTCCTTTTTAAAAACATTTTCTTGTGTTTTGAAAGCTTACAGAACAGATGGATATTCCATTCAGTCATCCCTACACATTGTGTTTGATGACCTTGACTCTGATTCTCATGCTGTGTTATCAAATCTACAATCCCTGGCAGGGATGGAAGGAGCCCTGGGGGCAATAGTGCTTGTAGTGCTCAGCTGTTTGTTAACTGGAAGGTCCTCTGTTCAAACCCACTAGCCGTTCTAAAGAAGGAGCTTGAAGTCATTTCCTCCCATTAAAGATGGTGGCCCTGGAAGCCCAGTGGGTCCGTCCTGTGCTGTCCTCAGGGGTGACGGTGAGCGTCCGGAGGGTCCGTCCTGTGCTGTCCTCGAGGGTGTCTGTGAGCGTCCAGTGGGACCATCCTGTGCTGTCCTCAGGGGTGACTGTGAGCGTCCAGAGGGTCCGTCCTGTGCTGTCCTCAGGGGTGGCTGTGAGTGTCCAGTGGGTCTGTCCTGTGCTGTCCTCGAGGGTGGCTGTGAGTTGGGTCAGCTCAGCCAGTGTATTTGGTCTGAGTCTGCGATGCTTGTGCTTCTCTGGACCACCACCTATCAAAAGTAGATGTTCACATGAAGAACAGTAAGTTGCATTTTTTTTGTGGGTTCAGTCTGGTCACACACTGCAAGTTTTCTGTGGTTCACTTCTTTTCTGGGATGAATTTTCAGGGTTGATTCTCAGTGGAGTTGTTCTGACGTCGTGCTGGGAGACAGCAAGGCGGCTCCTACCAGAGCCAGGGAGTCTAAGTGACAGCAGCAGTTGGAATAACAGGAGCTCTTCTGAGAGCCCTGTTTGCAGATGAACGTGAGCAAGACCGGCCACCCAAGGGACACCAAGGCCGCAGCCGGGGGTGACTCTCAAGAGCAGTCATCTCTTGGCTCCGTCCCTGAAGCTGGACTCCAGCCGCCAGTAGGACCATGCTCTGTCTTCTCCGCAAGGTCCTTCCTGGTCTCCTGCAGCTTCTGCTGGCACCGGCATTCCTGGCTTCCAGAAGCCTCTCCTGTGAGCTTTTCCCTCCATGTGTCTCTCTGAAGCTGTTCACCACTCAAATGTGTTGAAGACCCACCTGCCCCTGTGTGACTTCTTAGCTGCTCTGGACATCTCCACAGGCCCTGATCCCAAAGGAGGTCATGACAGAGATCATAGGAGCAGGGATCTGCACTTCCCAGCTTTTGGGGGGACCTCCCTCCAAACCTAATACCACTGAACCCATTCTTCCTTATAGCCACCTGTGGGACAGTCCAACTGTCCTGTAAGCTGTCTGTCCATCTTTACAGGAGCAGAGCCTCACCTTTCTCCCAAGAATGCTGACCCAAAGGTTTGAACCACCGACCTTTCAGTTCGCAGGGGAATGCCTGAACCACTGAGCCGTCAGAGCCCTCAACCGCCCAGTGGCTGTGCCCCTGCAGATGACCAGCGGGGGAGCCTGGCCCGGGCCCTGGAGCAGGCCGCACCGGGCCTTCCACTTCTCCTGGCCTCTGGGTGGGCACCCTGGGCCACCTTCCTGGAAGGGCCAGCTCTGCTGTGTCCGCTCTGAGGCCAGGCAGCACGGAGACCACGTCACCCAGCAGCCGATGCCGTCTCACACCTGACGGTTTTAAAAGATGAGTTCTGAGTTTTCTTTTCAAAGTGACTGCAATGTTCCCTCTTAAATGAAATATTTAACACTTTGGTAATTCCTTCGTCACAGCTATTAGCTCATGGCGGTGGCATGCAGGCTCACGGCAGCCATAAAACCACAGGCCTTCCACCTCTGCCTGCAAGGAGCTTCTGTGACTTTCCTCTCAGGCCCCACAGAGGACCCTCGTTCTCATCCCCTCGGCCCCCC